TCCAAGATTTTGAATTTGCAAACATCCCTTCCATCTTTACTTAATAATACTTCAAGAAAATTGCTACTGACAAAAAAAAAACAATGAATTATACGGTACGTGTGTATATAGATAAATTATTATATAAGACTTAGTAATGATAATGAGTAAAGAAAAGAAAATAACAAGTATTATTAAAACTAAAAAAACTACGAGAAGGGAGACCAAGAAACTCGAACAAAATGGACGAAGTAAACCCACCGCCATGGGAGGTTGTTGAACTTTTGGGTGTTGTTCGTTTAGTACCATGGTTATTGGGGCTACCACCAATTTTAGGTTTGGATTTTTGGGAGGGGCGACTGCAGAAGAATTTTTTTTTTTTAATTTAATTAAGTTAATTTTGGGGAGGAGTATCTACTATTTTAAAATTGACTTATTGGTTTCTATTTTTATGTGATAATTTTACTTAATTTTGTTATTGAATTAATAAATACTTTATTATGTATTAGATATTATGAAGTAATAATTATAAATATAAAATTTTCAGCAACCTTAAATAACCTCTTAATAATTTTTTCTGAGTTGTTGTATATTAGTTTAAAATATTTAGATTAATTTTTTTTAATGTTTAAAATGATTAAGACATATTTTTATAGTGTAAAATAAAAAAAATAAAAAAATACAGAGTGTTTATACAATTCTTTATCTTTATAATTTGAAGTAAGACAACTAACTTATTGACAATCATTGAATGTCGAATACGTACCACCTGTTTCACGGTTCTTGTAATCGAAAACATTATTCGAATTTATTATATTTAAAAATAATATTATTTTTATATTTATTAAGTTGATTTGATGGTAGAGATTTGACTTATAAATATTTATGAAATAAAATATTAAATTGATTATTAGGTGAATTAAGCCGGTTCAAAAGGTGTAATAAAATTTAGTGAAAATGATTAATAAAATATTGGGAATCCAAAAACAAAAGTTTTATGTTTCACGTATTTTATATAAATCAACTATATTATTTATTTTTAATTAGACAAAAAAAAAATTAGATCAGGCACTAAAGTATTTCTCGTAATAAAAATTGATGAAAAATATTAAGTTACAATTGAAATATATTAGCATTTTTATTTTTAAAAAATAAAGTTATATATTCAACCGAGTCACTCCCACTTAAAAACTGTAATATAACTTTATTTATAATTATGGTCCTCAAAATTTATGAATTTACGAGAATACCCTCGTCCCCGCCTATAAAACTATCTAGTCTGCTACAAATGCCTATTTTTCATACTGGAAACTTCGAAATTTCGCTCCAAAATCAATGCCGCCAATTAAAGTCCCACCCTCCTCTCCAATACCAATTGGTAAAGATCGCAGGGCAACCAACCCCCTACTTTTCCAAACAGTCTACCATTTTTTTTCCAGGTAGTTGCCAAGTTACGGTGGAAGCGCACAACTTCACTTGCAAATCTGATCCAAAAACCCTCGAAATCTCTGTCCCAAGGAACACAAAAATAAAAATATCAGGTTTTGGACTTTCTTCATTTTCTTTTTCATTTTGTGTTGTTCGGTGGAGCTGATTTCTATGAATATATCTGTTTTTCTTTCTCTATAGAAACTACCCGTTTGTTTGGTCTTTGGAAAAAAAAAAAAAAAAAGAAAGGAAAATATAATATATAATCCTCAGCATTCTTAGTTTGAAGCGAGATTTTCTGTTTTTTCTTATTCTTCAATTATCAAGACGATATACATTCCAAGGTGAGATATGAAGCTTAACCTTGAGAACT